CCAAACACCACGACAATCAGTAGTAACATCGCCATTTCCAAAATCACCACCAAAAACCACCAGATCCCGCTAGATCCATCACCACAGTTACAACCACTGAATCGTCGCCGCACAAAACACCACCAACCACCACCCCGCAGCCAACTTCACAACCACCAGCATCCAATCTCCACCTTATCGTCGCACCAGCAACATTGTTTCCAATCTGAAACATACAAACATAAACAAAAAAAACCCAAAAAGTCGGCACCGTCCCCAACATGACCAACGAGATAGGCTGATATTGACGGTGTTTCTCTTTCTCGATGAGATCGTGGATCTCGGGATCCATATCAGCGAGAGGCTGATACTGGACTCACTGTGATAGTCACGGTGCTTAACAGATCGCCACGGGATCTCCGACGTATTCTTGTGTGGCTGCGACGGTGGGTCGGAGAAGAGAGAGAGAGAGAGAGAGAGAGAGCAACAGAGAGTGGAGAATGGAAGAGAGAGCGACGGGGAGAATAAGGTACAGTGAGTGAAGGAGAGAAGTGAGAGAAATTTGGGATAAATTTGATTAGGGTTTGATTGAAAATTGTACAATTAATATTTAATATTTTAAAATAAAATATCTAATTATATTACATAATGTATCTAATTACAAAATATCTGATTTTTGAAAATTAAAAGTTGAGATATGATTTTAGAATATAGATCTTGAAAAGTATGGAATTGTGTAATTTCCAAAAAATTTTATCCAAATCCTACTTCTAAAGTTTCAATTTCAATGATCAGATTTTTTATTTTTTTTTCCTTCAAAAATTAGGTATATTAATTACATACCATCCTATCCTATCTCACTCAACCCACCTATTTTAGAAATCCCCAATTTTTAGGGTGTAATAAATCAGAAGTTTATCCACCCACCACCATCGAGTTATAGCAACTAGAAGATTTTTTCAATTAAAGATTTTTTATTTTATTTTATGATTATTGTTGTTCTGCTTTCCAACATTTAAGAAGAATCAAATTATCTCTCACTCGTTCGTCATCGTTGGCTAAAAGAAAATCATTCATCTTTTCTTAAATAATTACACGATCTTAGAAATACGTGTTTTTCAAATTTCTAGACCTTAGTTGTAGTTGAGAAACAATATCTAGGAGTATTATAAAGTGTCATATTTGATTCACATTCTTCTCAAAATTCATTCTTTCAAAACTCATTTTCAACCACACATTTTTTAATAAAATAATATTATACGCAAATCTAAAATTTTTCCTTGTTTTTTAACCAAATATTTTTTCATCATATCACGTCATAAAATTCATTCTTCTCTCAAAAATATGCATCAAACATCCCTGAATATATGAGTCATTTTAACTATTTTATAGAGATTTTACTAAGAGGAAATTACACAAAATCATA